GCTCACTGGACAATGGCTACTATATAAGCCCCTGAGCAGCAAACCCAAACACAGACCTGTAAGAGAGAGCAGCAGAGTGAAGAGGTTTGATTCTTTATGAGAGCTGTAACACTTTTATTATTGCTGATCCTACTCTGTAAAGAAGTTTGGGTCTTTGTGAGAGCTATAGCACTTGTTCTTATTGTTGCTTCTGCTTTGCAAGGAAGTTTGGATCTTTGTGAGAGCTGTAACACTTAACCTTACTGCTTCTTCTGGTCTGCAAGGAGGTTTGGGTCTTTGTGAGAGCTGTAAAACTTAACCTTACTGCTGCTTCTGCTCTGCAAGGAAGTTTGGATCTTTGTGAGAGCTGTAACACTTCACCTTGCTGCTTCTGCTCAAGGAAGTTTGCATCTTTGTGAGAGCTTTAACACCTGTATTATAAAACCTATCTTACTGCTGATCTGGCTCTGTAAGGAAGTTTGGCTCTTTGTCAGAGCTGTAACACTTGTTAAAATAATTCGCTGATTCTGTGGTCTGTCACTTCATTCTTCAAACAGCTGAGGCCAAGAGCCTGGAAATCTAGTATCAAAGTCTGGTCTCAACTATAATGAGAGCATGGCTGCCTTGACTTCAGGCTGGGGTAGTGGAGTAGGCTTCTGGCAAGTGGCTTAAACTATGGACATTCACTTTTAGAAAGCTTTGCGGTTGGGGCTACTTTCCTCAGAAGGGTATGGGCTTGCCAAGAACAGAGTTACATGGAGTGCTTTTAGGAATAGTAGAAATGGTTGCTGTAGAGAGAAAAATCAAAGGAACTATAGGGTTAAAGGCTTGCTAGGGGATGGAAGACCATGATATAATGAAAACTTTAGACTAAGTTTAATAAACACAGTGGGGTTGTGCTTGTGGCTCTGGGTAGGGTGCCAGCCCCATATGCGGAAGGTGGTAGCTTTGAACCCAGCCTCAGGCAAACTGCAACAAAAAAATAGCTGGGTGTTGTGGCATGTGCCTGTAGTCACAGCTACTTGGGAGGCTGAGGTAAGAGAATTGCCTAAGCCCAGGAGTTGGAGGTTGCTGTGAACTGTGACACTACAGCACTCTACTAAGGGCAATAAAGTGAGACTGTCTCTAAAATATTAATTTAAGAATGTATCTGAGCAAATGAGGCAGCCCTCAGTTCCAGAAGTACTTCAGAGAATTCAGTGGTGAGCAGTGAGATAGATACAAAAAGGCTAAAGAAAGCAGAAACAAGTCTGTCTCAAAAAAAAAAAAAGAGAGTAAGAGCTGGGTGTCCATAGCTCAGTGATTAGGGTGCTGGCCACATGCTCCAGGCCTGCTAAACAAACAAAAGATAGTGGGCATTGTGGCGAGTGCCTGTAGTCCCAGCCAATAGAGAAGCTGAGGCAAGAGAATTGCTTGAGCCCAAGAGTTTGAGGTTGCTGTGAGCTGTGATGCCACAGCATTCCACCTAGGATAACAGAGTAAGATTTTGTCTCAATAAAAAATAAAGAAGTAAGAAATACCTACTTCATAAGATTCTTTTTTCGTTTTATTTTATTTCATTTTTTTGAAATAAGAGTCTCACTTTGTTGACCTCAGTAGAGTGTCATGGCGTCATAGTTCACAGCAACCTCAAACTCTTGGGCTTAAGCTATTCTCTTGCCTCTGCCTACCAAGTAGCTGGGACTATAGGTACCTGCTACAATGCCCTGGCAATTTTTAGAGATGGGGTCTCCCTCTTGCTCAGGCAGTTCTTAAACCTGTGAATTCAATCTACCCTCCTCAGCCTCCCAGAGTTCTAGTATTACAGGTGTGAGCCACTGCTCCTAGCCTTAAGTTTCTTTTGAATAGTCAGTGAGATAATTCATATAAAACATTTTAAATAGTGTTAGATTAATATTAGCTATTTTTATTCTGTTTCTGGGCAGTTTACACATGTTTGATGTGTATGTATGTAACTTTTTACTTAATTACATGTATTTATTGAAAAATAATGCATATGAAATCATCAAAACAATACTAAATGATACACACTGAAAAATTCTCCCTTACCAGTCTTTCTACCAAGGGATTAAATTTAAGTGTACCTTTCATTTTTAGGTACCAGTAGGTACATCAGATGCAGAACAGTCAGCACCTTTGTTTGTCCTCGCCACATATTGTGTATCTTAGACACCTTTTCATATCAGTATATATACATGTATTCTGGTTTTTGCTTTTTATTTCCTCTTTACAGATGTGCTCTGTCTATGTTGCTTAAGCTGATCTTTTTTAATTAAATCATAGCTGTGTACATTAGTGCAATCACAGGGTACAAGCTGATCTTGAACTTTTGGGCTCAAGTGATCCTCCAGCCTCAGCCTCCCAAGTAGCTGGGATTACAGGCCCCTGCCAGTATGCCCAGCCTGTATTCCATTGTATAGATGTGCCATAATATATTTACTCAGCCCCCAAGCAGAGTCCTTTAGGTTTGTATTAACTCTTGTTTTCACAGGTAAGCTACTATGAACTTCCTTATAGCTCCCACACTGATCAGATTGGGTTTAAATTAAGGTCTGTCACTTATTAACACTGTGACAGTAGGTAAATGTCTTAGATTTACCAACCTTAACTTCCTTACACATAAAATGGGGACAATAATGGTGCCAAGCTCCAAGTCCCCAACCCAAGGGAACAATGCATGGGCGTATGGCACACTTCCTGGGTAAAGGAAACAACTACAACTCTGACTTTAGCTTACAAATTCAAACAATATAACCAAATCATGTGTATTCTCATATTAATCTGAAATAAAAAATAAGTAAATAAAAATATTGATTAAATTATTAAAAATATATGTAATCTCATATACATATAATCTGACTTTTAAGTACAGAAAATGTATGTGTGTGAGGATTGTGTAATAGTGTAACAAAGCTAAATCCAGATGTTTTATAGTATCAAGTCAACGCTAATAGAACTATAACCTAAAATGGAAAAAATAATGCCAAACTCATAAGGTTCTTGTGAGGATCAAAAATAAAGTGCCTTGCTTGGTGCTCTTACATAATATGCTCTCGACAAATATAAAATACCCCTCTTTTTTACTTTCCAATTTTCTACACATTAGAGTTTACCTGTACAGTGAATTTTTAGTTGTGGAATTGCTAGAGTCAAAGATGTTCGTTTAACATTGTTAGACAATGATAAATTGTCCTCTGTGTTGAATTATCTGTTTGCTCCTCTAGGTCTATACTTTATTTGTCCCAGGCTCTGTACCCTGGGAGGCTAACCTCTTTGAAACTCTATCATCCAGTGTTTTTGCCCACCAGTGTCCAATCAGGATCCTTGTGGAAGATGGGAGGGCAAGAAGAAGGCTCCTATTTGGCAGTGGCTATACTCCCTTACCAGAAGCCACCTCACCAAGTTTCAGTAAACCTCTTCCCTTGCCCTGTCAAGTCTGGTGCTATTTCCTGCCGTGGCTTGTCCTTGAGAACTTCACCATCCTTTGCAGGTTTCATTAACCCTGAGCATACCTCTATAAATAATCTTTCTGTTAAACTTCCTTCAGTTACTCTTTTAACATGCCACCTGCCTGGATCATGATCCCATTTATACTCCCACTACTTTGCTACCAGAATACCTGTTTTCTCATACTGCTGCTGATATTGTCATGTTGGATGTTTTTAAGGTTTTACCTAAAATTTTCCTTCAATTCTTTATTTTTTCTGGGCACCAGAGCCATCATTCCTCTTTTATCACAATGTTTCCTGTTCAACTTTCTTTCTTTCTTCTTCTTTTTTTTATTTTTACATTTTATTACTGTTTAAACCATTTTGAGTTGGGTTTTCTGTTTAGTTGGGTTTTACATTTTATTATTGTTTAAGCCATTTTGAGTTGGGGGGTTTTTTGAGACAGAATTTCACCGTGTTCCCTGGCCTAGAGTGCCATAGCGTCAGCCTAGCTCAGAGCAACCTTGGGCTCAAGGGTTGGTCCTGCCCTCTTCAGCTTCCCCAGTAGCTGGGACTACAGGTGTGTGCCACTGTTACCAGGTATTTTATTTATTTATTTATTTATTTATGTTCTGTATCTCAAATCACCAAGCAGTATCCTTTTTTTGAGACAAGGTCTTGTTATATTGCCTAGGCTGAAAGTAGCCATGTGTTTCTTTAAAAAAAGAATGAAAAAAAACCCCAGAAAAATAAAAAATAGAATGTGGGGAATATATGGAACAAGACTGGGAAAATGGAGATAATTGTGGAAAGTAGATGTTGAGTATGTAGAGTTCCATTTATCCACTCATTCCCATCCTGTACCCATTTGTTATCTCTACTATTGTGTTTTAAAAGTTCTAAAATGGGCTCGGCGCCTATAGCTCAACCGGCTAAAGCGCCAGCCACGTACACCTAAGGTGGCGGATTCGAATCCCCAGCCCGGACCCGCCAAACAACAATGACGGCTGCAACCAAAAAATAGCCGGGCGTTGTGGCGGGCGCCTGTGGTCCCAGCTACTTGGGAGGCGGAGGCAGGAGACTCGCTTGAGCCCAGGAGTTGGAGGTTGCTGTGAGCTGTAATGCCACGGCACTCTGCCCAGGGTGACAGCTTGAGGCTCTGTCTCCAAAAAAAAAAAAAAAAAAAAAAAAAAGTTCTAAAATAAGCTGAGCGTGATGGCTCATGCCTAGCATTCTGGGAGGCCGAGGCGGGTGAATTGCCTGAGCTCATGGGTTCGAGATCAGCCTGAGCCAGATTGAGATCCTCCCATACACACATACACCTGTCTCTAAAAAATGACTGGGCGTTGTGGCAGGGGCCTGTAGTCCCAGCTATTTGGGAGGCTGAGGCAGGAGAATCGCCCCTAAGAGTTTGAGGTTGCTGTGAGCTGAGAAGTCACAGCACTCTCCTGAGGGAGACACAGTGAGACTCTGTCTCAAAAAAAAAAAGTTCTAAAATAAAAAGCAAACCAACAAAGACACAAATGTAAAGTCAAGTCAAAATTTCAAGTCTAGGAGCAGAATGGCCAGTGACTCCCCGGAAGAGGAGCTTACCCCAATCCTGCAGCAGCAGAGATCAAGATGACCCTTGTTTTGAAACAACTACAGGAAGCCACAGTTCTCCAAGTTCTGACAAGAAGGCACACATCAGCAAATCATCAGGGAAAATTTCCACTTGGTATCTAAGAGGAATGAAAATATTTGTAATTTTCTAAAGGGAGGATTATTAATTGAAGGAAATGAGATTATGGTATTATGCAACATCATATTTTGTCTTCTGTGTGGATTCTTTAGCAAATGAACTTAGTGTTTCAGATCTAATGCAAGTATTTATGGGGGGAATGGTATTGGAGACCAAGAGGAATGAAGCTTATATACAAATTAATGCACAAAATAAACTGGAGAAACCTCAGGCTGTCTTTTCAGGAACTCCCCCAGCTGTGTCAGCTATAAAGAATATAAATTTTTCTTATAAGAGAGGATACCCAGGAAGGGTGAAGTCTAGGAGAATAGAGGTCTTCTTAAGGAGACCCCAAGGATACACTGGTGGGGTCCTCCCCATGGGACTCAGCTCTTAGGAATTTATAGAATTGTAGAATTTATAACTTCCTGGGATCTGGAAATTTCCCTTTCTGTGAAATACTGTAGTTCTCTCGGGGCTGGAACAGCTTCTCTTGCTAGATTCAAACTGACCAATGACAAAGGTCCCTGTGGGCTGGAACTTTTTGACTGAGGATAAAAAGGGAAAGACCACGCCAAATGTGGAGCACAGCCATTTTGAGATTTTTAGATTTGCTGTAGTTCCACTGGCTGAATAAAGCTTTTTTCCTCTGTTTGGGGTTTTTCCTCTCCATTGGGCCTCATCTTCCTGCAACACTGAGATTTTAAGAAACATAAACATTAGTGACATCAGTATAAAAATGCCAAATCTGCTCGCTCTCTCTCCTTTTTCCTTTTATTTTTTTTATTTTTTTTATTTTTTGAGACAGTCTTACTCTGTTGCCCCAGGTTTGAGTGTTCTAGAGACAGGCTAGCTCACAACAACCTCAAACTCCTGGGTCCAAGCCATCCTCCTGCCTCAGCCTCCTGAGTACCTGGGACTACAGGCATCTGCCACAATAACTGGCTAATTTTTCTATTTTTAGTAGAGACAGGATCTCTTGCTGGAGCTGGTCTAGCACTCCTGAGCTCAAGCAATCCTCCCACCTTGGCCTCCCAGAGTGCTAGGATTACAGACATGAGCCATTGCACCCAGCCAAAACCTACCCTCTTTTAGATTTAAAAAAAAAAAAAAAAAAAGGTTCCTCCTAGTAAAATCCAGTGGAGAAAGTCTATATTTACCTTGTAGTTGTTTACCAAAAAAAAAGAGTCTTTTTTTTTTGAGACAGAGTCTCACTATGTCACCCTCAGTAGAGTATATGGCATCACAGCTCACAGCAACCTCAAACTCTTGGGCTTAAGAGATTCTCTTGCCTCAGCCTCCCAAGGAGCTAGGACTACAGGTGCCTGCCACAACACCCAGCTATTTTGGGGTTGCAGTTGTCATTATTGTTTAGCACTCCTGGGCCGGGTTTGAACCCACCAGTTCTTATATACGTAGCTGGCGCCCTAACCACTGAACTACGGGCACCAAGCCAAAAATAAGAGTCTTAACTTTTGCTCTTGAACTTAAGTCAAGATACCATGTAGAAGTTGTACAAATTGCTATGTGAAGTTCAGTGTCATTTTTTTTTTTCCTGAACTGTGTTCTTGTGCCCACTGAAGATACACCTGCTGTCTGTATTGGCAACTACAGTATTTTGAAAAGTGTTTGACACATTTCTTTAATTATGTACAACCCAAAATATTTGTGTTTTGTTTGGATTACAAGTGCAGCGTTCCTTAATTCTTTGCTGTTTGTTATGATTATCATTTAAAAAACCAAGTATGGATTGCACAGAAATATTATGACCTTTTTTCTCATAGTGTAAATAAACTCTAAGGCAAATGGGGAAAAAAAATCAAAGCAGAACAATCTCTAAAGGTCTACACTGCTACAGGGTTCCCCCACTCAGGGCTGGAACTCAGGGACACTTAGGGACCCCCCCCCATTCTCTTGGCTCAGGTGCCCCTTGGAGTTGTACGTAGGCACAAATGTGGTACTGGTGCCGCTTGCTTAGTTTCTCGATGGCTTCCTCAGTGTACTTCAGACCATTCTCCTTCTGCATGGCCTTGGTACTGAAGTTGATATGGCAACCTGCACCATTCCAGATCCCAGGAATGGGCTTGGATCAAAGCTTGTTATCACTCCTGAGTCTTCACACACGCAATGCAAGATGAAACGAGCCACCCAGAGATGATCTCCCATGCTGATTCCTTCACAGGGTCCAATTTGGAATTCCCACTGGGCAAGCACGACCTCAGCATTAGTCCCAGCAATCTTGCCTCCATCATACAAGCAGGCTCTGTATGGGCGGCGCCTGTGGCTCAGCGAGTAGGGCGCCGACCCCCATATACCGAGGGTGTTCAAAGCCAGTCCCCGGCCAAACTGCAACAAAAAATAGCCAGGCGTTGTGGCAGATGCCTGTAGTCCCAGCTACTCCAGAGGCTGAGGCAAGAGACTTGCCTAAGCCCAAGAACTGGAGGTTGCTGTGAGCTGTGACACCAAGGTACTCTACTAAGGGTGACAAAGTGAGAGTCTGTCTCTAAAAAAAAATTAAAAAAAAAAAGCAGGCTCGGTAGTGAGCCTCCACATTATCCTGCCATAGGCTCTGTCTGCTCCCAAACCACGGTAATAAAGAGCCTGGGGCCCAGGGAAGCCATTGGCAGGCCAACTGAAGGGGTGCCCATCTGTCCCCATCAGTGTATATTTCTGCTCCATTCCGAACCAGGGGTGCTGGGTGCTCACCATGTCCATTATCTGCTGACAGGTGGGCCTCAAATTGGTCTCTGCAAGCTTTTGATTATACTTGAAAACTTCACAGAACACCAGCTTGTAACACCAGCTGGTTGGGGTCCTTGCGGAAGGGGTCCCGGAACATGGCAGCAGGCACGAGATACACATCACTGTTGGAGCCTTCAGACTGCAAAGGACGAGAGCCATCAAAATCCACTCGGGTAACTCTTCTACACACTTGGGCTCACAGTCCAGGATGCGGGTCTTACAGCACAGACCTTCTCTGGCACCAACGGTCCAGATATACATGGCTTGGACTCTCTCGCCCTGAGGCAGGGACATATACACAGCGTGATGCCTTTGTGTGGTGGAAGATGCTCTGGGCAGCGAACAGGTGGGTGGGCAGGCAGGTGGCCACAGTGAAGTGAAGAGAGAAGAGGAAGCCAATATGCTACTCCAACGCCCTATGCTTCTCCCATCCTCAACTCTCATCGCCAGTATTTTTAATAGAAAAATTTCAAACATATTTGGCCGATCCCCAGATTTCTCACATCATTTTTATTTTTAAACATTTTAAATACACATGAATTAACAGACTAGTACTATGAGGGCCTGCTTAGGTCAACGCAGAATCAGCAATGATCAACATCTTGCCACATTTGTTTATCTCTCCGGACATACTTTTTTCTTTAACTGAAGTATTCAGAAGTTATTATGACATTTCTGCTCTTTCTGTCTGGCTTCTCCTGTTCCTCCTGTTTTAAATTTTGTTTTCAGGCTTTCTATATGCTGGTTCCTTTTCCTAATAACTACATGTGGGCTTCTTACACATGAAAACAAAAGGGTGGCGCCTGTGGCTCAGTGGGTAGGGCATTGGCCCCATATACCCAGGGTGGCAGGTTCAAACCTAGCCCTGGACAAACTGCAACACACACACACACACACACACAAATAGCCGGGCATTGTGGTGGGTGCCTGTACTCCCAGCTACTTGGGAGGCTGAAGCAAGAGAATTGCCTAAGCCCAGGAGCTGGGAGGTTGCTGTGAGCTTTGATGCCATGGCACTCTACCCAGGGTGATAAAATGAGACTGTCTCAAAAAACCCAAAAAACAAAAGAAAGAAACAAACAAAAAAAGAAAACAAAAAGTTTCCTAACTTTTTCATTTCTTTTTTTCATAGCCCACTTTCTCAAAAGCAAAGTTCGCACTCTTGTTTTCTACTTCCTACCTCCCAGTGATAAAGTCAAATAGGACCTTTGTCAAATAGAATTGACCTGCCCAAATAGAATGTTCTACCTAGGAAAGAGGGAATGTGCCAATCCCTACCCCTCTGACCCTTTAAAATTCCATCCACCTTAACCCACATGCTGACTTCCTTCTTGAACTCAGCTCGCCTGCACCCAGGTGGAAATAAAGGCTGACGTTGCCGACGCATAACCTAGACTCATTTCCTTTCTTTCACATTTAGGAATAATCTTTTATTTCAATCTTTGACCGCTCAGTCAGTGCCAATGGACTATAGTATCCCCTCTGCACACCTTCACCTCAGCACCATTGTGATAAAATCAGATTACTGACCCGCCCCATCCCTGCCCCACCCCACCCCCCTCCCCCGCCTGAAGGATGGAGTGGCTGTCCCTCCCAGGAAATAGTAAATGAACCAATCCTTGCCTCTCTAATCCTTTCAAATCCCCATCCGCCATAGTCCATGTGTGGATTTCTTCCTGATCAGGAATCTCCCCTCACCTGCACCCAGCTGGAATAAAAGCCACTTTGATTGCACAAAACTAGGGACTCCACCTTCCTTTTGTCTCACGCCTTGGAGTAATCTTTTATATTTGGGTCCAGAACCTTTCACACTGGGGGCCTCATGGCTGGGAAACCCAACAGAAGCCAGGCTTCTCTTCTTGATACTCCACATTGTTGAGGTTCTTCTTGAAATCTGCTCCTCCCTGTCAGGCATAGTTCACTTTTTTTTTTTTTTTTAAGAGACACAGTTTTACTTTGTCACCCTCTGTAGAGTGCTGTAGCATTACAGCTCACAGCATCCTTCAACTGTTGGGCTTAAGCAATTTTCTTGCCTCAGCCTCCCAAGTAGCTGGGATTACAGGCACCTGCCACAACGCCCAGCTATTTTTTTGTTGCAGTTTGGCTGGGGCCAGGTTCGAACCCGCCATCCTTGGTATATGGGGCCAGTGCCCTACTCACTGAGCCACAGGTGCCATCTCCTAGTTGACCTCTGACTCACCTGCCTCTCCATCTATCTCAGAACCCTTCACCAACTCACCTTTCTATTTGCCCCTTGGA